ACTGACTTCTTGAAACTGACTTCCCTCCCCTCAAACATACATTTCTGCAACTACACTACCTGGTATAAAAGCTTCATTCACCAAACCACACCCACATCACACTGTTGACAACTCAGCACAGTGAAGTGCCGCTCATCTACTGAAGCTTCTTTACTGTGTCTTCAGGTAAGATACTGTGAAAGTGTAATTCCATTTCACCTGTCCTTATTGTTTTCTGCTTTTACTTTGGTGCCATCTGATGGTAGGATGGAGAATGACACTGTAAGATAAAGCAGAGACAGCAATGTGCTGCTCTGCTCGACTGCATCAGTGACGGTAACATGAGCGGTTATCACCACAGTGTAATATCTGTCGTCAGGATTTAACTAAAGTTTTGAAGAATATTTTCTTATTGCAGTTCCACAACTCACGATCGATTCTCTCTACTTTTCTGCTCTAACCAGGTCTGAATAACAAACCGTGTTCACTGAGTGAGTGCACAAAACCAATCTGAGAAAAATCAAGTGACAGAAAACCTCTGTAAGGACGGAGCGCCGTTACCGTCTATAGTAAAAAATATTGTAGAGGATTCTATGAACATCATTCACCAGTATTGGTAGTTTGCTGTGCTGTATATTTTCTGTGTTCTCTTGGGAGTTGAGTGACACGGCCACTTTAAGGGAGAAGGTGGCTAAATGAGGAGGAATCACTACTTTGCTGTGGGGGAGGGAAGTTACTGTTGTTTTTCCCGGGCTCGTTTTTTGCTTTGCGACTCAATAAGAGGATGCACACGTTTTGTGTGAAAAGCGCTAGAAATTGTTTGCTGCCATTTGCCACAATTTCTACATTGGTGACCCCGAGGTTCGTCTGCTGGACGCCTCCAGAAAAAGCTCTTCACGGACATGGTGACCAACGCAGGTTCCCTCAAGCTACCGGAGTTCTGGGAGTCAACTGCCTCGGCCTGGTTCGCCCAGACAGAGGCGCAGTTCTCCCTGCGAGAGATGACCTATTTTAATATATGAGCATACAGATCATTGACGTGTATATTGTCGGATGTCGAGGGCAACGGGGTAAATAAAAACACACAGGTGGGGTTCTAGAATGTATTTATTGATATAGCCTATACATTTGTAATGGCGTGGGTCAGGAGTTGGTAAGGAGGGCGCGGGGCTGTTCACCTCGCCGTTCACCTGTAAGCAACAGGATGACCCATGTGAGTTGATTTAATTATCTGTTAATTGAACGTTAGAAGTGCAAACAGTTGAATGCAATCTGATGTGCAACTTACCTCTGCCTGTCTTCTCCTCAACAGGGTGTGCCAGCAGAAGAATTCCCCGGGGGCTTGCACACTCCTTAATCATTTCCGGGAGGGGCGATATGAATTGAGGAAATCTGCAGGGGAGGATGTGTAGTTGCAGTGTTTACATGTATTAATGTAAATATGAAGTCGGGTGTAAATATTTATTAAGGTTTAGGTGTGTATGAAAATGTATATATTTAACAAGTGGTTTTAATTGTGAATGTTAGTATTGTGGTTAGAAATGTGTGCGTTAATTTACCTGCAGACGGTATGGACCAGCCTAACAGATGAATAGACATCCTTATATAAGGCAATCAGTCAGTTCTTTCTGTTGGGCTGGAAGGTGATGGACAGACAACATTGTGCACGGTGCTATGTGAAATAAAAAGGAAAGTTGAAACATCACTCTGGACTCCTTATCTCCTCATTTTAGTTCTAACAACCTCCAGGACGAAGATGATTTGGTGAAGAAAAATACCAAGGAGTACAGAGAACGACTGACAAACATTCTCCATTCACTCTGACCTTTGATATGACCATTTAAATCCTCACTTAATGCATCCACTCACTCAAAGTGCTTTACAGGCCGATGTCAGCAACAGTGACACAGGACACAGGACAAGCTTTCTTGGAAGACAATGAAAAAGTCCACAAAAACATGAAGGGAACACCTTGAGAGATTCAATTCATCAACTCTTTTCTCTACAGATATCTGGAGCCCAGAAATTAGAATTTCCAAAACAAGAGCACGATGTAGCAACAGTGACCAGATATACATAAGTCAAGCTTAATAAAAAAATTTAACAAGTTCAGAATCAGTCATTACACTGCAGGTCAGAGACAGATGTGAAGGGTTTGACCTCTGCAGCAGAAACAGTCAGAGGAGGAAGATGAGGCTCACAGTGAAGAAGAAGAAGAGATGCTCACACATAGAAGAAGCCCAACAAGTTCAGGGAAGTGGACTGTATACTGACAGACCTGAGGACAAATGTGTAGCTGAACACTGGATATCCATTAGTATTTCTATCCGTCATCTTGGACACTGGGTATAAATGGGTTTACTGGAGAGGTCTTCTTTTATGTGTGATTTGATTTGAGTCATGTGTCTCCTCCCAGTGTAAACAAAGGTGTGTTAGACTGGGTCTCAGCCAGTCGGTGGTCATTACATCCCATTGTTTTGTTCCCATGTTTTTATGAAACATAATATAAGAAGCTGTTTGTCTGATCACCTGCTCCTTTCCTCTTTCTGTCGTGTCTGTGTTTGTCCAGCAGGTGTCGCCCTTGTCTCAGTCTGTCTCTGTGACAGTTATCTACAGCCATGTTGAAGAGTTAGTGTCAGAGTCAGTGTTTAACCCTGTTTTATGAGTGTTTCCATCAATCAAACACATGTTGACAAGTGGAGGAAAAATAGTGAATTAACATAAAGTAACATAACAAGTTTAATCAGCCCAGTCATGTATGAATCAAAACTATTTATACATTTTAACCAGTTCAGTCAATTAAAGGATTTTTCTTTAATTTTGTTTTGTTTCTGAAACTGCTCATACAGTCATTTCATTTGTTTTAGCTGTAAAGATGTTTCAGTAATCAAACTTTTTCACAGATGAGTTTCACATCATCTCCAGAAGCTTTGATAGAATTTCTAAAACACTGGTCATTTCCTTTTTATTATTCTTTGAGATAAAATCACTTTCTTCATTTTGCAATTAAGCATCACAGCTCAGAAAAAGACCCTGGTCAATGTTTCTATCACCACCTTCTACAAAATGTCACAATAATGACTTTTACCAATGAAAGACGTTCCAAACAAATTAAGAGGAAATAAAGTCGATCAAATTTGCAGTCACTCTGTAAACCAGTATGTCAGCTCTGTGGAACTAAATGATGAATCTTGAATCCAGTGAGAAGAACAACACTGTAACAAATTCCTGTAAATTTACAGTGAAATTTCAACAGTACAATCCTGTTATCTTTAAATGCAGTGTATTACTGTATATTTTTCTCGTGAAACACTATTAAACAGTATTTTACAGTATTATTGCTTGGAGGAAAGAAAACAGTAATATACAGTATTTCTTGCAATGCATTTTGGGAAAACAGAGAGTGAGACACATTTGACTGCACAATGCAGTTTGATTTTTTTTCACCCATCTTCATCCTTCAAATCAATAGGTGAGTGCGTTTTTGCCTTGCTTGTTAGCTTAGGCAAAATACATCACATTTCCTATCAAGTTGTATTGATTATCTAGTAGAATACCATCAAACAAGACGAGTTATTTTACTTGTAATGCTAGTCTTTAAGCTACTTTAGGCTTATCTTTATGTTTAGGATTATTTGGCTAAAATGAACTGTATTCAGAGTGAATGTAAAGAGCATTGGACTTGAATTAAGTTTAAGTCATTTGAGATCAGAGTCTTTGCTGACACACACAAGAAAACAGTGAGTACTTTCTCAGCTAACGTTAGCTACTTCGATGTCTAACTGTACAGTTGCTAAGCGGGAAAAAATCCTTCTGTTGCGATCTGAAAACGTCGGTAACACTGTGATGGTAACTTTCTATCACCCGTTTCACTGGAAGTTGTGACAAGTGTGACAGAGAGAGGAGCTGGACTCTGATCCTGATCCTCCAAACTACAGGGTGAGTTTCATCTTCACTTTACTTTGTGTTAGCATCTGCTAACTGCTCGTCTCCAAAGGACGCTGCTGATTTTATTTAGATAACGTTACTTTACTGTCAGACTGAGGTGACCGGGAGCTTGTTTGCTAATGTTAGCCAGCGAGCTAAACTGTCATCATATGTTACTTTCACTATTATTACGCTGAACAGAGCAGAAATAATGTGTCTGTTCAACACGGTTCAGTTCTGTATGATAACACCTTATAATGTATATAGGAAACACAACAGGACTCATCTGTGAATGGGTAGAAGGATTTCAGTTTCCCGGGAAAATATCATTTGCAGTGTGACAATGTCAATGCGGTTTTTTCTTTGTTAAATTTCAGGTGAAACAGGAAGCTGTATTCACCACTTCATGATCAGCATTGAGGGGCATGACCTTTGTGAGGTCACCCAGCCAGCTGACCGCGCTCGCTGCAGTCTTTTCTACTCACTACAACTTCAGTCTTCAGTCCCAAGATGACGCTGCATGCACACTGGAATTCATTCAAAGGTGAGATGCTTACATCCTTCAGCTGGTACTGTGTGCTCACAGCAGCTTTGATCATGTTGACCTTGTGTTTGTTGAGTTTTGTCTCACATGTTACATACAAGCTGCCTAAAACATCTGATTACTGGAGCATGTTAATGAAGCTTTTCTTACACTAATCAAGGTGAAACTATTACTTCCAAAACTACTATTATTTAATCTGCACCATGAAAGTACACGTTTCTATTTCCCCACCTGAATACACACTCTTATTTTTCAGGCCAATCCTGACAGAGGCACCAAGGCTGGACGGGTCCGTCTGGGGAAGGTCACCCAGAAAAAGATGGCATCAGTCAACCCTTGTGTCTCCAGTCTACTAAAGAAATGAAGGACTTTGAGTCTTACTCTACATAAGTCAGTTCACACACTCACTCACACACACTCTTTTTTCAGTTCAATTCACTCCTTAAACTGTTCCCTCATACAATCCTTATGAATACACACATACAGTACAAAAGCTTATGTTAGAGAACCACTTGATTATTTTTCATAATATATCTTGTGTTTATTTACGTTCAGTGTTTAATGGTCATGCAGACTACAACACTTGTTAGAGATCTTTTTTTGAATGAGTGAAATTTTGGTTTATTTGTTGTGTTTTCACAAGCTTCATAAAGAGACGTGGTTTGAAAAGACACTTTGAGTATTTTAGTATTATTTGTCTTTAAATTTTTAAGCTGCAATTTCAAATACCATGTTTATTCAATGTAGGAAAATCAACTTTATTCATGACGTGAAGCTTCAGTTTGTTCACACACTGAGTCAGTAAAGTCTGTTCAATGACTCTCGTTCAGTGATTTCATGAACAGATTCACTTCATCCACATTCAGTTTGTTTCACCTGAATCTCAGAGAGGGAAAGAAAATAATGAATCATCTCCTCACTGATTATTATCATGATAGTTACAGTTTGATAAAACCTCAGATCTTATTTGTAAGTGAATTTAAACAACAACAACATTTGATCTGACAAACACATAAATGTAAATGTAATTATAGATTTCTGTCTTTACACAATGAGAGCAATACATCTGTGATAAAGGAAGGTCTGGTGATTTCTCTGTTAAGGCCCAAACAACAACAGACAAACACATCAACACAAATGTTCCTGAGCAGTGATATCCTCCATGGCTCCAGCTCCACCTAAAGAAACTCCAACATCAACACAACAAGAAACCAGAAGAGGTCAAAGTGCTGACGATGACTCAGCAACAAACACAAAGACACAAAATACACTTAGGAACTCAAACACACATTTGAACTCACTTCTGTCTATTTCAGTTTACACAACTCTGCTGTGTCTCCATAAAAGTAAAACTCAAGTCCAGCATAGAGAGGCTGAGTGAATGTGGTCTGGACTCTGTGGAGGAGAGTCATGGTTCCAGAGACGCTGTAGAAGGACAGAACACCTGCTCTGTGATCCAGGTACACTCCTACTCTGGAGGACCGAGGACCTGAGACTGGAGTTCTGATGTTGTTGAACCTAAATGAAAAACTGTTTTGGTAACAATCTAACACCCATGATTTGTGATTGTATCCAAATCCACATTCCTTTGAGCTCCCTGCTCTGCTGATATTCTTGTATGCGACTGCTACATTAACTCCTTTTCCTCTCCACTCCACCTCCCAGTAACAACGTCCAGTCAGACTCTCTCTACTCAGGACCTGCCAATATGAAGTGAATCTGTCTGGGTGACTAGAATAAGACTGTTGTTGACTCATTACTGTTGCTTTTCTGTTTCCCTCAGATAATAACAGATGTGTGTGTGCTGTGTTTGGATCCAGCGTGACTTTCTGTGAATATCTTAAGAATCCAGCTCTGGTCCTGGGCTCTGGTTGTGACAGTAAAACATCCACTTCAGTCAGTGAGATGTTTGTCCATGTGTCTCTCAGAATGTCCTGTAGTTTATCTCTGAGTTGTGACACAGCTGCTGTCACGTCCTCAAAGTAGCTCAGAGGACGGATATTGATGCTGGATGAGTCTGTAGATTCACTGAGTCGTGACAGTGAGGGGTAGTTGTGTAGAAACTGGTTGTGATCCTCTGTGTGTGAGAGCTGCTTCAGCTCAGCGTCTTTCCTCTTCAGCTCAGTGATCTCCTGCTCCAGCTTCTCCTGAAGCTCTTTGACTCGACTCACTTCAGTTTTCTGCTGGGATCTGATCTGCTGCTTCACATCAGAGCTTCTTTTCTCCATGAGACGGATCAGCTCAGTGAAGATCTTCTCACTGTCCTCCACTGCTTTATCAGCAGAGCCATTGATAGCCTTCACCTCCTGTTGAAGCACCTTCACATCTTTGTCTCTGTCCTGGATTCTCTGCTGGATTTGTTGTCGCCTCAGCTGGAGCTCTCTCTGCCTCTCAGTCCTTTCTGCTGCAGCTGAGACTGTGTCGTGGCCTTTATGTTCATCCACAGAGCAGAGATAACAGATACACTGCTGATCAGTGCGGCAGAACATCTTCATCACCTCATCATGACGAGAGCAGATGTTCTCCTGGAGCTTCTTGGAGGGCTCCACCAGCTTGTGTTTCTTTAATGGAGCTACATCATAATGAGGCTGCAGGTGTTTCTCACAGTAAGAGGCCAGACAAACCAGACAAGATTTCACAGCTTTCAGTTTTCTCCCAGTGCAGAAATCACAGGCCACATCTTCAGGTCCAGCATAGCAGTGATCAGCAGGAGCAGCTTGGAGTCCAGTCTTCTTCAGCTCCTCCACTAAAACCGCTAACATGGTGCTTTTCACCAGGACAGGCCTCGGTGTGAAGGTCTGCCTACGCTGAGGGCAGCTGTGGATTCTCTTCTGATCCTCTTCATCCCAGAAGCTTTTAATACAGCTGATGCAGTAGCTGTGTCCACAGGGAATAGTCACCGGATCCTTCAGTAGATCCAGACAGACGGAACAAGAGAAGGTCTCCCGGTCCAGCTGAACTCCTTTCTGCGCCATGTCACCTCTCACTGTCAACGACTGTCTGAGTTTCACTTCCTCAGAACTGAAACTAGTTTGAGCTCTGATCTGAACAACATGTGTCTCTGCAGTGAACGGCTTCTACCACATGTTGGTTCCGCCAATCTTCAAACTGTAGATCTGAAGGGGAGGGAACAAGGAAATACCTGAACAGAGTGGAGCTGGCTGTGTTTGAGAGCAGGAAGAAGAGGGAGGGTTATCAGGCTTTGACAACATAAAGTTCAGAATATGAGATATAAAAAAGGAGCTCTCCAGATTTACTCACCATACACAGATAACAACAGCACAAAGTCCGTATCAGTGTTTAGATAACTGATCCCTTTGGTTGCAGGTGTCGACTTCTTTGCTGTTTGCTGATGTTTTCAGGAGACAAACAGTCCTAATACAAACCAATATATTTATCAAACTCGAGACAGGATGAGCTTCACTTGTATTTGGATATAAATATGGATTTAGCTGAGAAGTGATGCAGTTCTCTCAATACAGTGGCACAACTGATGTCATGATCAGAATATGTATATGTATATATATATATATAAAACTTTCCCATCTGGACTGGGTTGGAGACGTTGAACCCTTCCTATGGCAAGGTTAGGGTTAGAGTTCACTGACTTCTTGAAAATGACTTCCCTCACCTCAAACATAAATGTCTGCAACTACACTACCTGGTATAAAAGCTTCATGCACCAAACCACACCAACATCACACTGTTGGCAACTCAGCACAGTGAAGAGCCGCTCATCTACTGAAGCTTCTTTACTGTGTCTTCAGGTAAGATACTGTGAAAGTGTAATTCCATTTCACCTGTCCTTATTGTTTTCTGCTTTTACTTTGGTGCCATCTGATGGTAGGATGGAGAATGACACTGTAAGATAAAGCAGAGACAGCAATGTGCTGCTCTGCTCGACTGCATCAGTGACGGTAACATGAGCGGTTATCACCACAGTGTAATATCTGTCGTCAGGATTTAACTAAAGTTTTGAAGAATATTTTCTTATTGCAGTTCCACAACTCACAATCGATTCTCTCTACTTTTCTGCTCTAACCAGCTCTGAATAACAAACCGTGTTCACTGAGTGAGTGCACAAAACCAATCTGAGAAAAATCAAGTGACAGAAAACCTCTGTAAGGACGGAGCGCCGTTACCGTCTATAGTAAAAAATATTGTAGAGGATTCTATGAACATCATTCACCAGTATTGGTAGTTTGCTGTGCTGTATATTTTCTGTGTTCTCTTGGGAGTTGAGTGACACGGCCACTTTAAGGGAGAAGGTGGCTAAATGAGGAGGAATCACTACTTTGCTGTGGGGGAGGGAAGTTACTGTTGTTTTTCCCGGGCTCATTTTTGCTTTGTGACTCAATAAGAGGATGCACACGTTTTGTGTGAAAAGCGCTAGAACTTGTTTGCTGCCATTTGCCACAATTTCTACATTGGTGACCCCGAGGTTCGTCTGCTGGACGCCTCCAGAAAAAGCTCTTCACGGACATGGTGACCAACGCAGGTTCCCTCAAGCTACCGGAGTTCTGGGAGTCAACTGCCTCGGCCTGGTTCGCCCAGACAGAGGCGCAGTTCTCCCTGCGAGAGATGACCTATTTTAATATATGAGCATACAGGTCATTGACGTGCATATTGTCGGATGTCGAGGGCAACGGGGTAAATAAAAACACACAGGTGGGGTTCTAGAATGTATTTATTGATATAGCCTATATATTTGTAATGGCGTGGGTCAGGAGTTGGTAAGGAGGGCGCGGGGCTGTTCACCTCGCCGTTCACCTGTAAGCAACAGGGTGACCCATGTGAGTTGATTTAATTATCTGTTAATTGAACGTTAGAAGTGCAAACAGTTGAATGCAATCTGATGTGCAACTTACCTCTGCCTGTCTTCTCCTCAACAGGGTGTGCGAGCAGAAGAATTCCCCGGGGGCTTGCACACTCCTTAATCATTTCCGGGAGGGGCGATATGAATTGAGGAAATCTGCAGGGGAGGATGTGTAGTTGCAGTGTTTACATGTATTAATGTAAATATGAAGTCGGGTGTAAATATTTATTAAGGTTTAGGTGTGTATGAAAATGTATATATTTAACAAGTGGTTTTACAGTTTTTTTTGATTGCATAAACACTAAAATCAAAAGTATTACACAATCATCAAAACCTTACACTCCAGTAAAACATCAGCCCAGATTTGCACCACTATAAGCACAATGTCAGCCTCACACTTTTTACAAAACAATACACACAGTGATTTACGAAACACTGAACACACTTGTATACATGAGACACAGAAGTATATCATGATGTCACTTCCTTGCAATTCCAAAGCACTGACTGTCAAATTACCACACCTATGAGCCAATAGGTTAAACACAGCCATCAGGTGCGCAAACACATGATTGTTTGATTGTAGACACACCAATCAGGTTTAAGCACTATAAAAATGCAGCACCTGAGTTCACCTGTCTTCAACCAAAATGGAAGGAGTCAGAAGAAGAAGAGTGCGGGTGAGAGGGGGAATCCATGGCGGAGGAGAAGGAGGAAGAGGCGGAGGCCGTGCCAGAGGTAGAGGCCGAGGTGGAGGTAGAGGAAGACCTGAAACAGGAGGAGAACGCGCTCAAAGAAGAGGAGGACCAAATTTATCAAATGAAATTCATGCAACACTAGTTGACCATGTTGTGAACCGTGGATTGACGCTGAGGGAGGCTGGACTAAGAGTTCAGCCAAATCTTAGCAGATATACAGTGGCATCTCATTAGGACATTTTGACAAGAAGAGGTAAAAAAAATCTGTCTACAGTTACAGTAATCAGCTGCTTATTGTACGCACCATATCAGCACTTTTGATACCCCTTCCTGTGATATTTTACAGTAGGTTATGTAGCGTACATGCGTGGCCTGGCATCAGTCACAAGCAATTAAGGAAGTTCATTATAAGGACATGCAGAGTGACAGACCCACAGCTGACACTTTGCAACTCTTACCACCATCAAACTATCAGATTGATAGAAAACAGAGACAAAGGACCCATCTTCCACAAACAGACCATGCTGTTAGCATGTCCGAACGACACAGAACCAGACCAAAGGTCAAAGGGTCAGCTCCAGAGGATTAACCAATGAACACCAGACAACTGGGGAATATAGGCAAAATCTCCAGTTTGTAACAATAAGACTTTGTCTAATGATATTTGATTGTTTCTTGTGTAGGACAAGTAACAACAAAAGGACTGATTAACACTAAGGTGTGAATCCTGGCCTCTCTGTGCCATGCATGAACACACACACCAACCTCCCCTCCTCTGTCCCTCTCTAGATAAGAGTCATAAACTACAACCTACATTCCAATCCTGGGTAGTGACCAGCAGAACTCTCTTCACAGACACAGATCAAAGGAAGGATGTAAAATTAAATATCTAACTGTTCTGTAACTCTTGAGATGTTCCTATGCAATAGTTTAATCCCAAACTTCTATCCCATAGAATGTTTGAAATGTAACATGTAGATTTTAAGACAATGTCCTTCATATGACCATACTGTCAGCATCCTTCACACGAGGTAACACAAACTACATGACATCCAGAATGTCCATATTATTATTATTAAAGTCAAAGAACTGCTGTGTAATCCACATTTATAGACTATTAGCTTTGGGAAATGTTTATATTGTTGTTTGATCAATTAACCACTTGTATCGTGATTAATTCCAAGTTTGAAGGATGTAATATGAAATCAACACTCCTATTACTCCTCTCTGCCATTATTAGTGCAAGTAGTTTTATGTTATTTCATTTAATGTTTTGTGGTCATGGTGGAAGACGGATGTGCAAGTTTATAAGTAAACTCTAGAATTAAATTATTCCAAAGTTAAGTGGAAAATTACTCTCTTCTCCAAGTGGAAACACAGGGGAAGATGGGTGACACCCATGAAACATGCGCCAGCCCCCAGGGGATGAAACAGTTGTGAACAATTCACACATTGCCAGTTCAGTGGTCAGAAGCCCCGAAAATCAGGTCAGAAGCCCCGAAAATCGGGTCAGATGTCGGTTCAGAGTTCAGAAGAAAAGTAAGAGAAACCCAGATGACAAGAAGATGCGAGAAGTGAGAGACGATGCAGAAACTAGAAGCTGAGATCTTTGCTCAAAGCTCAGAGTCCCGGCTCAAAGCCCGGCTCTGTAGCCATGTAAACTCTTAGCTCTAAGCTGCTTGCCACAAACTCATGGCTCTTAGTCATTTTTGCACTTTTCGCATCTTTTAATTTTCTTTGCCACAAGCTCCAAGTAACATCATTTTTATCTACATGATCTACATGATCATTTGATCTTTTATTTCTATAAGCCAAGTCAAGACCAACTGAACCAAAGCAACAGAAGTGCCTCAGAGTAATTTTGTAACTTTTAAATCATCATCAAGTTTTCCTTTTTGAAGATTTTGACAACTTTAGAGTCATCTGGTCAACGCCAGTCTCCTCTAAAGTTATCCAGCCAAAGTGAAGAGCATTAGAGTTTATTTCGCATCAACCCGCAAGAGACACCAGCAGATAACATCTGCACGACCGCCTGTAGAGAAGCCGAGCAGAAATCAAGAGTGCCCAAGACAGAAAGTCTCCTGGCAAACTCCACCAGAGCTGAACCGCTGAGACACCGGCAGAATCCGTCATCGTGATAATGGGACACGGCCTCCAGGAGAATCCACCTAGATCCCGCGTCTCCAGGGTAACCACGGCAACCACAGCCACCTGGCTTCTAGCCGAGGGTCTTCAGCTACAGCGCAACTCACGGTAGGCCGGTCTTAACACTCTGCTCATGACTGGGTTGATGTCGAAATATATGTAGCTCCCGTCATGACAGACACGGATCGGTTTCTCTTTTTACTGGCATTTATTCTGACTCTTCTCCCATCGCTCATGCCGTGAGAACTGCTTGCACAAAAACACAAATATATCAGCTCACAACAAAGATCACATATGAAGCAAACAAAGACACAAATGCCACGTCGTGTAAACATAAACAAAATGCATCACTAACACAAAGAAAAATACCTCGTTAGCCGCTTGTCATGAAAGGAGATACCCGACACACCCAGGCCTGTCATGGTTTGCTATGGCAGACCCTTTTTTTTAGTTTTCTTTTGGACTTTCTCACTTCCTGTTTTATTTTGTAATAAGGTTTCCTTGTGTGTCTCAGTGTTTTGCTTCCTGTCTTGGTCTTGTTTGTGTGGTGATTGTCTGCCCCGCCCTAATGTGTTTTACCTGTGTTCAATCACCCTTGCCTCCCTTGTCTACATAGTCTTTGTACTCCCCTTTGTCTGTGTTGGTTCATCTGTTTATTTCTGGGTTCGTCCTCATGAGTTCACGTCATCTGTTCATGTCTGGTTCGTCTCCAAGCTGTTCACGTCCTGTTCATCTCTGGGTTTGTCCTTGTTCGGTTCTTGTTGCCTGTTGTTATCCTCTGTGGTTCCCTGTACCTGTTTTTGAAGTTCTTTTTTGAAATAAACCTGCCTGCACCGTCTCCCATGTGTTGGCTGCATTTGGGTCTACCCCTAATTACCACTAACCCTTGACAGAACGAACCAACCAAGAAATGGACCCAGCGGCCTACGCCGGCCTCATGGCTTTTTTGAGAGTGCATCCATCCTGGCAGCAAGGACCTTCATCAGTCTTCAGACCTCTTTCTACGCTGGCTGATCCCATTCTGACTCTGACCTGGAGGACCCTGACGAGTCCCCTTACTGGGGAACTCGCCTTGCTATTTTCAGAGGATCTCGTGGAGGCCATAGTAGGCGAGGTAATCATGGCTCCTGTCGCCATGGGGAGGCTCGGTCTCGGCCCCAGCCCCAGGTTCCTCGCTTCCGGCCCAGGCCAAAGTCCAAGGTCCCCAGCTTCCAGCCCAAGCCCCAGATACCCCGGTGTCCAGAGCCTCTACTCCCCTGTGGGCAGTAGCCCTCGCCAACTACCCTGGCTGATGCATCAACTGTTCCAGCATCGGGGGTTCCAGTCGATTCCTCCCTAACTTCTGAATTGGGTGGGCTGGACAAAGTCTCCCCTGCTCTTCGTGTCCTGTCGGCGGTCCAGCTGACTCTGGTTTCCAGTCAGTGGTCCGGCCGACTCCTGCTCCTCGTTCCCTGTTGGTGCTCCGGCCGAATCCTGTCCTGTCGGCGGTCCAGCTGGCTCCAGGTTCTGGTTCCCAGTCAGTGGTCCGGCCGATCCCTGCTCCTCGTTCCCTGCCGGCAGTCCGGCTGAATCCTGTCCCTCCTGTGGTGTCGGCAGCTGCTGCTCCGTGTTCTCCAGCGGCGTCGACGACTGTTCCTGTCCCTCCTGTGGTGTCGGCGGCCGCTGCTCCGTGTTCCCCAGCGGCGTCGATGACTGTTCCTGTCTTTCCTGTGGTGTCAACAACGGCTACTGGTGTGATGTCACCGCCTCTCCTGGTTCCTGATGTGACATCACCACCTCTCCTGGCTCCAGCTGTGACGTCACCTCCCCTCGTGGTTCCTGCCAGGGCGCCACCCCCATTGATTCTTGCCCTGATTCAGCCCACGTGGCACTTGGTGTCATTGACTCCTGCTGGGGCGCCGCCTCCGGTGGTCTCTGCCTCCGTGCTGCCTCCGGTGGTCCCTGACTCTGTGCCGCCTCCGGTGGCCCCTGACTCTGTGCCGCCCCCGGTGGTCCCTGACTCTGAACCGCCTCCAGTGGTCCCTGACTCTGTGCCGCCTCCAGTGGTCCGGCCAATCCTTGTTCCTCGTGTCCTGATGGCGGTCCAGCTGACTCCTGCCCCTGGTACCAAGCCAACTCGTGGTCACCCTCCAGAGGGGCGACGCCATCCTCCGGCTCAACCTCCGGAGAGACCCCGTCATCACCGGTCTCCAGAATGGCTCCGTCTGTTTGCCCGACCCCCGGGTCGCTCCACTGAACTGCCAAGCCTGTCCTTAAGGCCTCCGCCTCGACCCCCTGAGTTGCCCTGTTTTGCCACTGAGCATCAGATGATGCTGTCTACTGGCCCCTGGACCCCTCCTCCCGCCCAAGTTTGTGTTTTGGTTGAGGGTCGTCTGGAATTCGACCCTTAAGGGGGGGGTACTGTCATGTTTTTCAATGGCAGACACTTTGTTAGTTTTGTTTTGGACTTTTCGCACTTCCTGTTTTATTTTGTAATTTGGTTCCTTGTGTGTCTGTGTTTTTGCTTCTTGTCTTGGTCTTGTTTCTGTGTAGTGATTGTCTGCCCTGCCCTGATGTGTTTCACCTGTGTGCAATCACCTTGTCTCCTGTGTCTATATAGTCTTTGTGCTCCCCTTTGTCTGTGTCGGTTCGTCTGTTGTTCTGTGGGTATGTCCTCGATCTGTTCATGTCTGTTTAGTTCAGGGTTTATTCACGTCTGTTCATGTCACGTTAACGTTTGTTAAATAAACATGCCTGCACCGTCTCCCATGTGTTGGCTGCATTTGGGTCCAACTTACCTTTAACTCGTGACATTGATAAAGAGACGTGGTTTGAAAAGACACTTTGAGTATTTTAGTATTATTTGTCTTTAAATTTTTAAGCTGCAATTTCATAGATCATGTTTATTCAATGTAGTAAAATATAGATTTATAGCAAGACTGCCAAGGAATAATATCTCTACTCATAAAGTATAGAGAAAAATGTTAGCAGTTATTTTATCAAAAGCTTATACTGCAGCATGTTTTATATATGTACTACAGTTAACTGTAACAACTTATACTGCAAAGTCTTATTCAACAACCTGCATCTGTGGAATTGCACACTGTAGCTCCTGATTAGTAAAGTAGTTATTTTTTACACTGGTGCTGAGAGCTCAACACACCGCACCTTCAGAAAACACAAACACGAACATGCAAATTCAGAAAACATCACATCAATTTGACAACAGGTGTGCTGCAAATTCAAACTACACAACAGGAAAGGTTTCCAGGGGACACAAAAGTGATGAACCTGGTTGGGACTTGCTGTTCAATGCACAATTGTGACTTTTGAAGTTAAAAGCTTCAAAAGTCACATAAACAAAGATGACAGATCATTTCTGACAGTACAGTGTCTCCTCCAAACTACATCGGGGAAACGGACAGTATTTCAGTGAACCAGCTCAGAGCTGAGAGCTGCAGAGCTCAGCTGGCCGCAATAATGACAGGTTAGAGGCAAATGAGACTAACATGACACTGATGAAAACTACACTCAAATTTCTTTTGTTATTGTTGACTCAGAATGTGAGAAATCTAATCATTAAAACTAATGCACATTTTCACCAGCTGTGCTTCATCCTGGCTTCACTTTTCTTTCTTTAATCAAATCAAATAAATCAACTGTGTGTGTTTCGACATACAAACCAATGGAGAAACATCTTGTGATTGGATTGCTGGCTGTGTCTGTATCGTGATCGAGTCACAGCAAGTTTTAATCAGGTCTGGATGAAAACTTTACAACCCAGCAGCTGAACACTGAAACAACATTCTGAAGTTTTGTCTTTATGAAAATCAACATCTCAACACATGAAACCACCTGAAGTCAACTAGCACACATCTCTTGTCTTATGTGTGTCAGGACTGGACTGAGCTTGTTCACACTAAAACTCACCAAATGATTTCTCTTTCTGTGTCTGTAATGAACTCTCTTTATTGACTGAGCGCACAAACAAAGTGTTGGTTATAAAAAGCAACAAGAGAAAGAAAACTCTGCTCATTTCTCTGTGACAAAGCTGTTTTAGTGAAGGACGCTGAAAGGACAGAGACTGACTGACATGTTCTCCTGCTCTGAACATCAACTCTGGACTCTCATATCAGTTTCACATTTTCTCCATCAGCTCTAAATCAGATCCTGGAAAGAAGATAGAGGAAAATGTTTGATTGATTCTTGAGGAAAATCAACTTTATTCATGACGTGAAGCTTCAGTTTGTTCACACACTGAGTCAGTAAAGTCTGTTCAATGACTCTCGTTCAGTGATTTCATGAACAGATTCACTTCATCCACATTCAGTTTGTTTCACCTGAATCTCAGAGAGGGAAAGAAAATAATGAATCATCTCCTCACTGATTATTATCATGATAGTTACAGTTTGATAAAACCTCAGATCTTATTTGTAAGTGGATTTAAACAACAACAACATTTGATCTGACAAACACATAAATGTAAATGTAATTATAGATTTCTGTCTTTACACAATGAGAGCAATACATCTGTGATAAAGGAAGGTCTGGTGATTTCTCTGTTAAGGCCCAAACAACAACAGACAAACACATCAACACAAATGTTCCTGAGCAGTGATATCCTCCATGGCTCCAGCTCCACCTAAAGAAACTCCAACATCAACACAACAAGAAACCAGAAGAGGTCAAAGTGCTGACGATGACTCAGCAACAAACACAAAGACACAAAATACACTTAGGAACTCAAACACACATTTGAACTCACTTCTGTCTATTTCAGTTTACACAACTCTGCTGTGTCTCCATAAAAGTAAAACTCAAGTCCAGCATAGAGAGGCTGAGTGAATGTGGTCTGGACTCTGTGGAGGAGAGTCATGGTTCCAGAGATGCTGTAGAAGGACAGAACACCTGCTCTGTGATCCAGGTACACTCCTACTCTGGAGGACCGAGGACCTGAGACTGGAGTGTTGATGTTGTTGTACCACAATATATAACTGTTTTGGTTACAACTTAATGCCCAAGATTTGTCATTGCGTCCAAACACACATTCATTCCTGCTCCCTGCTCTGCTGATATTTTTGTATGAAACTGCTACAAAAACTCTTCCTCTCCACTCCACCTCCCAGTAACAACGTCCAGTCAAACTTTCTTTACTCAGGACCTGATAACATGTAGTGAATGTGTCTGGGTGACTAGAATAAGACTGATGTTGACTCATTAATGTTGCTTTTCTGTTTCCCTCAGATAATAACAGATATGTGTGTGCTGTGTTTGGATCCAGTGTGATTTCCTGTGAATATTTTAAGAAGTCAGCTCTGGTCCTGGGCTCTGGTTGTGACAGTAAAACATCCACTTCAGTCACTGTCAGTGAGATGTTTGTCCATGTGTCTCTCAGAATGTCCTGTAGTTTATCTCTGAGCTGTGACACAGCTGCTGTCACGTCCTCAAAGTAGCTCAGAGGACGGATATTGATGCTGGATGAGTCTGTAGATTCACTGAGTCGTGACAGTGAGGGGTAGTTGTGTAGAAACTGGGTGTGATCCTCTGTGTGTGAGAGCTGCTTCAGCTCAGCGTCTTTCCTCTTCAGCTCAGTGATCTCCTGCTCCAGCTTCTCCTGAAGCTCTTTGACTCGACTCATTTCAGTTTTCTGCTGGGATCTGATCTGCTGCTTCACATCGGAGCTTCTTTTCTCCATGAGACGGATCAGCTCACTGAAGATCTTCTCACTGTCCTCC